GGAAAAATCAAAAAATTCTTTTTTTAAATATTATTTTTGGAACTTGAATTAACTAAAAAAAATTAAAAAAAAATTAAAAAAAAAAAAAATGTGTCTCATGGTCTCACAAAATTAGGCCGTCTCACATGAACCTAACCCTATATATATATATATATATATATATATATATATATATATATATATATATATATATATATATAAGGTTAGGTTCATGTGAGACGGCTTAATTTTGTGAGACCGTGAAACACATTTTTTTTTATTTTTTTAATTTTTTTTAGTTAATTCAAGTTCCGAAAATAATATTTAAAAAAAAAGAATTTTTTGATTTTTCCATTTATTTTGCATTTTAAAATTATTTTTAGAATATGTATAGTGTAATATTCTATTTAGAATATTTCAAGTATTTTTAAAAAAAAATAGATTTTATTTATTTATTTTAGTTAATTCAAGTTCCGAAAATAATATTTAAAAAAAGAATTTTTAGATTTTTCTATTTATTTTGCATTTTAAAATTATTTTTTAGAATATGTCAGTATAATATTCTATTTAGAATATTTCACGTATTTAAAAAAAAAAAAAAAAAAAAAAAAAAAAAGACGGGATTTTTTTTAGTTAATTCAAATTCCGAAAATAATATTTAAAAAAAGAATTTTTGGATTTTTCTATTTATTTTGCATTTTAAAATTATTTTTAGATTTGGTCTCACGGTCTCACAAAATTAGAATGGTCTCAAATGAACATGAACCTATATATATATATATATATATATATATATATATATATATATTATATATATATATATATATATATATATATATATATATGGGTAAAGTGAATATACCTAAAAACCTTATATAAGCTTAGGTACCTAACTTCATAATACTATATTGGTTTGTATTTATTTACACTATAATTGCCTAAGGTTCTTAAACTTCAACCTCATAACTTGATTACTTCCAAAATCTTTGGACTTTCACAAATATCTTTCTTTTACATCACGTCTTTCTATCGAATACCATCTGATGGGCTTCATATCCTACCGCTACAAATGAAAGGATGTAGGAGAAATATAATGATGAATTTCCAAATTTTTTTGAAGTAAATCAAGTTTAGAGATGAAGTTTAAGAACCTTGGATGATTGCAATGAAAATTTAATGCAAAATGACGTAGTTTGATGAGGTTAGGTACATAAGCTTATATAAGGTTGTTAGGTATATTCACTTTACCTTATATATATATATATATATATATATATATATATATATATATATATATATATATATATATATATATATATATATATCCTAATATTAGATAACTTCTAATACGCGAAGGAAACTTGTAAATAAGGAAAGTCCTATGACTCCTATATTTATTGAAATTCCAACATAATCATCGCTAAAGAAAGAGTTTGTAGATGGAAAAACTAGAGATATGAAAAGGTACAAATTCAAGACCAAAATAAGAATATTTTAAAAACAGGCTCCAAGTAAATTTCTACATGCATGACTGATAGGGCCACCATTATGCAAATTGCAAGTCTATGTTTTAGGAAAAAGCTAAGGTGCATGGCTAACATTGTGGAAAACATCGCTCAAGATGTGTATATCATCAAAACTTACAATATTATGTTCTAAAGTTACAATCATGGATTCAAACCCGAGTAGTGTTGACACAAGTGCAATCTTTCATGTATGCTTAAATAAGGAGATGTTGAAGAACTTCTAAGTTTTTGAAAATGATAATTAATTGTTCATGGGAAATTCAACCGCTCATAAGGTTGATCTAAGGGAAGAATAAAGATACTGTTAGAAATAGGGAATGAACAGATTACTTGGATTCTCTGAAAGTCGTGAATCACTATCAAATTGAAATATTCCGATGGTACAGATTGAACACTCAATTGGATGAAATTTAGAGATTACGAAATCAGTGAATGTAAAATGTTCTTAAAGAAGTGTACCATAAAAATGACCAAAAAACGACTATATGATTCATCTCTGAAAACCGTCACAAGACAATTACAAACTGTCATAAAACTACCAAAACCTATCATAAAAAACGGATCTCAGTGAAAAGGGTCAACATGAGTCAATTTTCTAAAAATCGGATTTTTGATGCATTTTTTAATATAGCAACATAACAAAACTAGCTAAGAGCCCCCGTACCCCATTCGTTCAGGGCTTCACCCTTAAATAACATTGTACTTTGAATCTTGAAAACTTGAACAAGTGTGCACTCTACACCATTCTAACTTGTTCAGTATTTAAGAATATCATTTTTTGTCAACAAATTTAATCCTATTACATTTAAATAATATTGATGATATTAAATACAAACATATATTTATGAAGATGATGTTGAGAAAATATCTTACGTAAAATGATGTATCATCGTTCGTGATATAAATTCATAAGAATTCAGTGTTATTGATTGTTTGACAAGCATGATTTTCACTTGTCTTTTTTTACTTTGTAAGTTTATTCAAAGAAGTATGCATGTTTGTATAGAAAGGACACAAAAGTACACAACTAATGGAATGTTTAAGTTGAATGTAATAGCTATTAAGCACTCAATCAATAATATGATAACTCTGTCTCTACGGTATACTTTGCTTCGTTGCTTGGTCTGAGTTGGTATGACTATGAACTTGAACTTGTTAATTTTAATATTATTCACAGATTAGTCAAACATGAACAGTACTCCATTTATATGTTATATAATGTCACTGGTTTTCTCTGAGCCTTCCGAATCAAAGAAATATTTTAAGTACATTGTGGATGAACTCGATTTTTCAAAAGAGTGTTCAAATAAGTGTTGGAAGATTTTGAAATAGAAATCGCACTTACAAAAATGCTAGATAAAATAATATAATTTTGTACCAAATTCACAAAAGAAATTCGAAATGAAGTACTCAAACTAGCAAAACTAACTATCAAATTTTTCTTAAAACGTATTCCAAAATTTGAGAGAATTTTAAAATACATAATTTTGCTTAAAGATTATCAGTTTATCAAATCAAGTATCACACCATTTTATATTGTGATTATCCCTTTAGATTTATTTTCATCAAAATCCAACGTATATAATTCTATAAAGTATGTTACTTTTTTTTATCATTATATCTTGGATAATATATTTATAATAATTGTTTATTATTTATTATATACCAATTGTTTTTGGATTATACATTTTCTCCGACCATAGAGCATGGGAACTATTGATAATCGTGCGCCTCTCTCTCTCTCTCTCTAATGATCTGGCGCTAATTTATGGGTAATGCCACTCGGATCCAACGGTTCAGGTCCAATATCACTTACACGTCGCCTTCGGCGCAAGTTAGTGCCAGCCCCTCTATTTTTTAGTCTTCTTCCACATTTGAATCAGTTGAAAGGAATCTAAAAAATGACGATCTTACCCCCTTTCTTTACCATATTAGGGAGCATTATTTTAAGGGGATGGAGACACGTATTTGATAAGATCACCAAAGTATTATGAAGAGACACCCCTTTGAGTTTTCTTAGATATACAAATATTACTCCTAACCTTTGAAAAAGTGAACTTATGGTACTTGACTTGTAATCAATGAAATCGTAGTTACTCAATGTAACATTCATTTGTTTAGATTAACTTTGTTAAGTTCAGGATCTTAACAAAATCGTTTTATATTTTACAAGATCATGATTGTAAGATTAGATCAAGATCAAAATATCTTATGAGAATGAATTGATCTTCAAATTTGTTTGTAGTGTCTTGTTTGTGTAATATTATAATTTGGTGTTGATTCAGACATTGTTGGTGGAAGCCGAATTAACTTTCACTTTTTAATATAAACCATAATTTTTGGTGTTGCAAACCACATAAATTAAGAAAAAAAAGATAATTGTGATCATATATAACTAAATCCATAAGATCATAAAGAGAATAGCATGAGTGTCATGATGATATGTCTAATTCAAGGTGAATGGATGAAATGGTGCTACTTAGTGAGACTTTTTGCCTCTTTGGACATATGATGTTCGATTTCAAGTTGTATGGATGAGTTTTTAAAGTTCAACTAGATAATAAATACTAAAAAATTGAGATCAAACCAGGTTAAGATGTTAATATCCTAATCGTGATCCTAAGATCTCAATATAGATCTTGTTTTAGATAGATCCGAATATAATGGTGATCATGGTAATTTTCACTTGTAGAATCTTAAAATCAAGATCAATATCTTAATAACTATAGTTTAGAAGACTGTATCCTTCAGTTAAAATCCAATTTAACTATCATCTTCCAAACCAAACCCTTTTTGGTTGGTTTGGTCATTTTGTTCAAAATCTATATGATTGGTTCTATTTATAAAATCAAATTGAGCTAATAGTTTAATGTCTAAACCAATCAAACAACTGTGTACATGCCTAATTTGTTTAAAGGTGAATCCAAGGTCAAATGACAAAAAGAACAAGTATGTTAATTGATATTTCTCAAACTAGAGGGGATATACTGCAAATCTTTTTAAAACCAGTGGAGCATAATGCAATCCATCTGTATAAATTGCAAGGGCCTCTTCCTCTATCACTTCTGGTTGCAATACTGAGAAAAACCGATCAGTCCCACACCGCCGGGATCTGAATTTCCGGTGAATTTCCTACTGTCTTAGTCATAAATATTCCCTACTCACATATAGTCACAAAATTCAAATTTCGTGTTAGATTCACCGGAGAAAGCAGTCCACCATCGGACAAACTGGGAAAGGGGAGGGTCGCATGATGGGATTTTGTGTATGTCCGTTAGAGTCTCCGGCGAGATTGTTGTGGAGTACTAGCTTCTTCCGCCACAAGATCATGATTTTCTAAGAGATAATCACATCGGTTGTATACGATAACGTATATACTTAAACTCTGATCTAGGGTTTTTGATTCTTCAGAAGTTGATATATACATACATATATAGAGAAACCTTCGGAGATCTCTAGTACTATTAGTCACAGACAAATCAAAGCTTTTCTAATATGGAATCTGGTCGTCTTTTTTTCGGTTGCAATAGCAGCAACATGCTTTTCCTCGGGAACGGGAATGGAGACAACTACTTTCGCGGTAATTGTTCCATTGCCCTCCTTGTTTCTATATTATGTATCAATCGAGACTTCGAGATCTGTTTACTCATTCTTACTCCTGCTAATTTCCATCAATTTGTTGCACCGATTAATCATTCATGAATCAATTGTACTGATCTGTTAATTAATTCGTTGATAGGAACGAGAATGGGGTTCAACATGGAAGAATCTTCGAAGAAGAGGCCATTTTTGAGCTCAATCGATGACATGTTGGAAGAAGAATACTACGACGAACAATTGACGGAAAAGAAGCGGCGTCTCAGCCCCGAACAGGTTCTGATATACACTATTTACGCATTCGATTCTGGAATATTTGATATCGACACCGAATCACTAGACTATTTTATCATATCATTATAGCTATCTATATAAAAAAGTGTTCGATCCTTTTATTGATGTATTGTTGGATTGAATGAATGACACCATTAAGGTACACATGCTGGAACAAAGTTTTGAGGAAGACAACAAGCTGGAGCCGGAGAGGAAAACAGAGCTGGCGAAGAAGCTTGGATTGCAGCCGAGACAGGTGGCTGTTTGGTTCCAGAACCGCCGTGCACGGTGGAAGACTAAGACGCTTGAAAGGGATTACGATCGCCTCAAATCTTCTTACGATATCCTCACATCCGACTTTGACTCCATAGCCAAGGAAAACGAAAAGCTCAAGGCTGAGGTACACCTACAGCCTACACCTCTATTCATCTTTTTCATACACTTACACATAAGATCTATTATCATCTATCTCCAGTTTCATCTTGGCATCCATGGATTCTATAATTTCTGTTTCCTGAAACATATTATCTAAATTAATCACTCATATAAGACACACCCATGAACAATTTGAAAGAGATTACACATAAATTATCATATGAAGAGTAAACAATATAATTCCATTAGTTTATTTGTTCACATGTGTAGTCCATATCATACTGCCCATATGATTTGTATATCATCGTGTAATTAAGCTTTGGAAAACGCATCAAGAAAAAGGACATATGCTATCAGTATATATGATTGTGGAGCTGTCCTTCTCTAGAAAAGGGCAAGTGATACTGACAATTCGCATCCGTGTATTTTATATTTTATTATGTATTAAATTAGAAATTATTTATTGACCCTACAAGAGGTTTTTAAAAAAAATTGTGATAAAACTAACATGTACACAAAAAAAAAAAAAATGCTTGGACTTAGAGGGTATATAGTTTGATACAAAGGTTTAGAATGAAAAAACAAAAAAAGTTATGAACTATTGTACGTGATGAGTCTTCATAAATTAAGTAGATATAGAAAAAGAAAAATTTTAAATGTGTATTTACAAAATAATGTTTTTTTTTTTTTTTTTTTTTTTCAATTTATGCAAAAAAGGTGGGTTTATATGAAATATCAGGACCAAAATATATTTGACGTTTTTTTGCTTTTAACAAAAAAACTCAATTTGAACAAAAATTTACTCATCAAAAAGCTATTTTATGTAGTGTTTAATAAAAAAACTAATTGTGAGATGAGTTAATTTAAAAAATATTAATATAAAAGTCTAAATATTTGAGAATTTTGAATTTATAAAAAAAAATATATAAATAAATAAATTATTAAAATGTAAATGTTTTTTTTTTCTTTTAAATTTAAACAAATAATTTGAATAGATAAATAATTAAAACTAATGAGCTTTAATTTTGAAATTATTACAATTAAATATTATATGAAATTTAAAAAAAAAAATAGAAAAACTTATAAAATGACATACGAAAAAAAATTAATTCAAAATAACTACAAAATAACATTAAACAAATTAAATGAGAATATAACAAATAGTAAACAAAAACTTCATTTATTAGAGTATACACTATTCGGTTTTTTAATTAATTTTCAGAATCATCCTTAAAAATATATTTATATTTTTTAAACAATTATATTTTTATGTAATTTTACACATTTCAAAATCCACCAACTATTTACAAAATAGTTATATAACAAATAAAATTTATAGTTTATAACTATAACTATTACTAACTAGTTTGTTAAATACACTTATAATATTTTTACCTTTGTAAAAATATACAAAATATACCGTTGAGTTACTTTTTAATGTCTAAAAAGTGTGTTTGTTTTTATAATTTGTAGTGTTGGTATTTATTTATTTTTGTGCAATGAAAATGAAAGTTGATGAGGATAGTTTGAAAAAGTCAAAAGGTGAAACGTACATTTTATGTGAGAGAAGAGAATAAGAACATAAAAACAGGTGTTAAAATAAAATAAAATGTTCTTTTGTTATAGGGGTCCATTGCTTAGCTTATAATATTCCATCTTACCTACAAAAAGTTGAAATGTCGCACTCACCCATTTCACTTCACTTGTATCCTATCAACTTTACCATATCTGCGTTCTTTACCAATACTAAATCAATCTTCTAAAGTTTTTGTATAGATAAAAAAAGATAAATTCAGTAATTTACGCTTAAATTTTGTTATAAAATAGCCTAAAAAATTTCTTGTATCACAAAATAACCACCAATTTCATTATTTGTTTTCAAGTTTGTCTCTTTTCTTTATTTCTATATCAATTGTAACGGTAAATCATATTCTATAATGGCTAGATTTGTCTTTTTTTATTTTTTATTTTCTCATATTGTATATATCTTAATCATATTAATACATGTTGGAATTTATTATGTTCATGGCTTTTTTAAGAACAACGACTCCACATATTTTATACTTAACTAAAAAGAAGTTGTCACATTTAATATGATCCAAATATGTCAACTATTATATAAAAGGCCCAGATACAAAGAACAATTATCTATTTTGTCTGCTTAAAAAATTTCCTTGTTATTCGTTTTTTATATCATGACAAAACATTATTATTATTATTATTATTTTATAATTTTATGGATCTAATGACCTAATTATTTTTATAGTTACTAAAATTATCATATTTTTATTGTTTGAATTTTTCTCCGATTACATGTTTTGGTATACAAGGGTGAAAAAAAAAAACCATTTTAAATATAGCATATTTTATCAATTTACCCAACTATCGTTAATATTATATAAATAAGAAAAAAAAAAATAACGATCAATAAAATATAAATGTAATCAGTAAAATAATTAAAAAAAAAAGGTAATTAATTTTCCGTATTTTGCAAGATATACAAATCATTGAATAGTCGATACTTTAATTTCCTCTTCAGGTAGTTTCGTTGACTGAGAAACTGCAGTCCAAGGAGGCGGCGAACATTTCTAGGACCGGTGAAGACGCTGACACAGCCGCCGAGGAAGCTGGGCACACTCCACCTCCGTCAGCCACCGTGAAAATAGAAGACCACCTTAGTACAGGTAGTGGCGGCAGTGCGGTGGTTGATGATCTGGATGGCCCACAGCTTGTGGACAGCGGTGATTCATATTTCCCCGCTACAGACTACCCTCATGAATATGCAGCGCCGGTGGATCAGTCGGAGGAAGATGATGGTAGCGACGATGGCCGGAATAACTTCTCATATCAGTTTGCCACCGCCGACCACCACCACCATCATGAGGAAGACGATTCCCTCGGTTGGTGGGTTTGGTCTTAATCCATTTATAAATAATATTATATTATTTAATGCTATGAATTTGTAGTATTTGACTTGATGTTATTAAAGTTGGTAATTCTATTTAAAATTTAAAACTGAGAACAGGTACAATAATGGAATGAATATGACGTTTTTTATATTATTCATAAGAAAATGTTTATTACTTGTTGTATGATGTCCCAAACATGGTTATGAACTATCAAGTGTTTGACATAAATTAATAAAGATGTCATGTTTTTGATTTATTAATAAAGAGATCATGTCGACTTCAAATGTATTCTTGACCTGTATCGAGTTCCAGCCGAAGATTGGTCCAATGGTAAATCCAAATCGAAAAAACGGGTCAATAGCATATATATATATAAAAAAAAGAAATTAATTATCTCTATATTTGAGGTGTTTTGAGTTTTTTTTAGAAAAAACAAGGTGAAGAATAATAGTTAAAGTATGAGCTCACTAATAAAGTGATAAAGTTTGGTAAAAAAAACTGATTCAAAAGCTAGGTATTAAATATAAAATGATATAACAAAACATTCAAATATATATTATTGACGTGTAATGATATATTTAAAAAGTTTATGAAAAAAAAAATTTCAAATTTCAAATAGCTTTTTTACACTAACAAGTTTATAAGTTATTTTAGTGGTGTCATCTAAACAAAATACAATAAAATTAGTTCCAGCCTCCAATACATTGTATGTGGCATGGACCTACGATAAAAAGTATGCATATGCTTATCTTTCTTTTTCTTACATAAATGTTATTTTAAACAAAAAATTATAATGTATTATTTTTGTTAAAAAAAAGTAAAAAATATCTTCTAAATCCTTTTTTTTTTTTTTTTTTTAACTAATAAAACTATTCACTTGCCCATCACTGAACTTGCCTCAACCCTTTAGATGATGAACACATTTTCAAACAACTAATAATCAAACAACTACTCTTCTTCTTCTTCTTCTTCTTCTTTATTTTATTTTTTTGTCGATCCACCAACGACTTCGGCTCTAGCTCAAGTTTGATGTACTACTTGTGGCATACGTCCAGAAACACAGACCACAGTGGAGAAGAAATATGATTCATGAATGCCAAAAACATTCTGTTTTATTCGAAACAAGGACACCAAATAAGGCCATGGATATTTTGATACCATAATTCATCCACATCATCAATACCAACAAATTAAGAAAGTCCAAAACATTCTGCACACAAGAACGTGCATTGACCCTACCCATATGAGCACAATGACATCGTCAACAAGACGTCATTCCTATAATACACCAAAATCAAAGATTTTAGAATTTAGATCAAAAATCACAATTTATACAATAATTTAACTTTAGATGAAAAAATTTCATAATTGGTCCATTTTGTTTATAGAATATTGCATTTTGAGGACTTCCAAGCAAAAAGTCACGTCACTGGTCCTTATGGTTTCAGTTCATTGCGCGATCGGTCTTTGACCCTAACCCCATCACTTTTGTACCGTTAGTGCAAGGGTATTTTTTTCTTTTCATTTATCAAAACTAGCACCACAAAATCCTGTTATGCAGTGAATAAACAAATATGTAAAAATCACTACAAGAATAAACATCTATAGGCACGAAACCTATAGGGATGACAAAAGTCATCACTATAGATGACCCTATAAGGACGACATATTGTTGCTATAAGGTTGACCAAACATTTTTGACTTTATAAGCTAAAGCGACAACAAATCGTCTCCGATGTTAAAGCGGGAATGAAAAAAATGTTGGCAGGATTCCAAAAACTTATAGGGACGACATATTGTCCCAAAAAGAAATTAAATTAAATATGTATACATTTTTTTTAATTTGTTTAATTAGAAAGTAGGGCGACATCGTTTTGCTTGGAGTATAGGGACGAGACAAGTCGTCCCTATAGGTTTTTATGCTCTCTGTAATTGGAGAAGTATCCATTTCTCGTTATTCGTTGCTCCTCTTTTGCCTCTCGCTCTCTCAAGCGGCGATTTAGAGGGTGTTTGAGATTCCTTTTTAATCTTCTTTTTGACTATTAACTTTTTCAAAAAGTTAAAAAAATATTAAAAGTTTGGTAAATTGAAAAGATCTTTTAAAATCAACTTTTAGTCAAGAACAAAAAGTTGGGTGGAGAAAAGATAGGAATTCCTATCTTTTTATGACTTTTAGTTAAAAGTCATAAAAGACAAGCCAACCACATTTTAAACTCCATCTTTTAGAAAAAGTTCTTTTACAAAAAGTCCTATTACAAAAAGGACTTTTATGTTTAAAAAGCAATCCCAGACACACCCTTACTTTTCGCCGGCCACCACAGCGACAACCAGGTAACCGTCGACCTCCATAGTGACCATCATCTTCGCTAGGATGTTGGTCTGATGACTCCTTCTCTCCCTTCACCTTTCTCTCTCTTTTGATCTTTCGATCACAGGTTATATTCTTCATGACTGCCTAAATTCCATCTACTACTTCTGGCGACCTCCTAGTTCCTTCTACTGCTTATGGCGACCTTATTACCCTGAGATTGCAGTTCTCTCTCCAACTCCTATTTTCTTCAACAGGTTTGTCCCCTGATTTTGTGATGCATAATTGTGTGATTTTGTTAATATTTTGTTTGAATATGTTTGAAACTTTATGGAACTGTATGAATCTGTTTAGGGTTTTTTTATAGTTACTTATTTGTTATGTGAATGCTTGGTTTCGTATGATTTTGTTAATATTGCTTGGGAAAAATATTGCTTTTTTATTTCTTTGACTATATTTTGTTGATATTTTGCAATGAAATTACCTAAGTGACAGTAAACTTGATAACAAACATTAGTTAGTAGCTCAATAATTTCCATCACTTAAAGCAATTGTAAGTTTTTTAATTACACAATTGGAATTTTGCGCATATTATTGTATAAATATTTTCAACTATAGTGAGTTTTTGGTGTGGGTCTGGTGCCCTTTTCACTCAATTAATTTCTGATTTTGTTGTAGGTTCACTCAATTAATTTCTTGGTAGTTGGTGATTGTATGTTAGTTGGATTACATGTGATTCTTCCTTCTTCATTTCTTTTGTACCAATCATACCATGTATATTCATTCCAATCATACCATGTATATTCATTCCATTGAAGCTGTTCAAGTTGCTCATTAGCTAACATATTTTTTTTCCCACAACCAATTATGGTGTATATATTAGCTAACATATTTTCATCAGGGAAGTTCAAAACCCTATACAAAACACCTCATATGTTCAACTTTGGGTTGAAAACCCTAGAAATCCCAGTTCAAATTCACTATGGACTAGGATCCTCTTATTGGGCCTAATGGATAAATAAACCTTCAACTTGACTACTTTAGGACTAGAAACGCTAATTGGTTTCTAATTGGACCCATATTCATAAAACTTAACATTTTGGGCCATGTGGGCCATAAATTATTCCATTTAACCTAATGGGCCTTAAACCCTTTAAGGTAGACTTCATTGGGCCGTGAATCCTCTTAAGAGCCCAATAGGCCGAAAATTTATTTTTAGGCTTCATAAAAATCGAGCAAAGCCAAGATTAGGCCAAAAACATTTCATTCTCATCTCTCTAGCCCACATTCTCAGCCCATTATGCATATAATAAAAAAGAGGGAAAAATGGTTATTTTGCAAGTGACACCTCTTGTTTGCATGGTGGGTATCCATTCAAACATCACCTCAATCTATCCTTTTCCCCCTTCTTCCACCCCTCGACCGAAACCCCACCACCCCACCTTTATTTTTCTCATTTCAAACTACTTCAAACTCTCTCTAAGAACTCCTCCCTCTCCTTCATATTTTTGCAAATTATGGGTGTTTCAAGAGGATTTCATCAAATTTTCACCCATATTGGTAAGTTGTAATCTTCTATAAGTCATTGTTTTCCATTTTTAGGCAAAGAACACTTCCTTACATGGTTCATTTCGTGTTCTAGCTTCCTCGGACCATCTAAGTTCGAAACTTCTTCCAAGGAAGCACTCAAGGCTGAAAAATCTTCTTCAAACTCTTCATCAAACTAAATCCAAACCCCAAAGGAGTTCATACCCCCTTTATTTTCAGTTTTATATGAGTTTTGGGGGAGAATACAAGTTACAATGTGATAGATCTAAGTGTTATTCATGTTATGTGTGTATTGCTTGATTTATGATGTGATTATGTGTAAAGACTCTATAGATCCCAAAATCTCTAACCAAAAGTAGTGATATTTGTAAATTAAACATTTTATACAACTTACTATAAAGATAAATGTGTTAAAAATGTGAAGATCCACGAGAAACTAAATAAAACTTGGAAAAAGGACCATTTTTGACAAATAAACAAAAAGTCAAGACTTTTATGTCATTTACGGTATTACAAGGACTAAAAAGAGTCATATTTGCATAAAAATGGGTATTTATGATAATCAAATTTTTCAAAAGGGCCAAAAGTGTAAATTCTTGCAAAATAGGACTTCGTATGGGCTTTACGATTTTTCTTGGGCTTATTTTGTAAAAATCTCAATTTTTAAGAACCAAATAGTCATTTAATACAAATTCGAGACAAAAGTGTAAACTTGCGGTTTTATGGGCTGAAAATTGCATTTTATTTTAAATTGGCCCTAAAACGCTGTTATTACAAAATGTGGGCCGAAAATGTGATTCTTTTCAAAAATGGACTAAAAATGTAATTTCTTGTAGAAATGGGTCGATAACAACAATATTTAATTATTTGGACCAAAAATGTCCATTTATATGTATTTGGGCCAAAAAAAAACGTTAATATTCATGATTTTTAGGTCGAAAATGAAGTTTTTAGCCAAAATGGGTTACATATGTCATTTTTATTAGTAGTAAGCCCATAAAATGAAAACTTTTAGCCTTAAGGGATTTAAAGTGTCAAATTTTCCAAAAAGGTGACTAAAATTGTACATTTTTAGTATAATGAGCCAAAAATATCTATATTACAAAACTTAGATATATTTGTTGTCTTGGTAAGCCTCGAGCAAAAACAAACAACGAAATAATAACAAATGGACGAAATACATCGATAACATGTTATTGGGCCTAGTACTCTCATTACATGGCTAATGGACCTTAGGGATCCATTTAAGTGTATATTAGGCCTACATTTCCATGTCATGTTAAATGGGCCTTTGTTGTCCATTTACATGTTAACATGGGCCTAAGCTATGCATCACATGTTGTTGGGCCTTAGTGGTTCATTTACATACCTATTGAGCCTGAATTACCCTTTTACATGTTTATTGGGCCTC